CCACCCAGGAACAGAGACAAGAACCCAGCATTTGAAAGACAAAAGACCCTGCAGAACCAGCAACTCTACCATTGTACCCCACCATTACAGACACCTGAAACTGCACATCCCTGCATGGAGCACACATGCTCAGTATGCCAGGGGCTGACTCTTGCCTGGGCATGACTCCTGTCACTAGCGTCACGCAAGGTCTGCCCCTATAAAAAGGGGCAGTGAAGACAGACCCAGTGGGACGCCCTCTCCATCTGGACCAGCACCGTGCCACAGCACCTATCCACCCAGAGGCCCTGCTGGCAACCCCCCTCTGGACAACACCTACTGGACAAGGACCCCTTTCCAGCCTGGATAGGTAGGTATCACCCCGCCACACCTCCTTCAACCAAGGACTTGGACTCTGTTTCTCTTCCCTACCTGGACTCCAACCCTTCCACTGAATCTCTTTCTCATGCTGCCATTGTGTGTGTGTGTGTGTGCGCGTGTGTGTGTGTGTGCGCGTGCACGCGTGTGTGTGTGTGCACGTGTGCGCCAATAACTTCATGAGGCTCTGTAGTGTGTTGTCTGTGTAATAAAACTATTATTTGGACCCAAGTTGGGTTTTGCTTTACTATGATTTGGCCCTGCTCCAATCTCTGCTCCTCGCCCCTCTAACTTCTGTCTCATTTCTCCCTCCCCTGCTTCTGGCTCACTGCCACCTCCAACACCTGTCCTGAGCTTCTCTCTGCCTCCAACCCCCCTGTTTCTTTGCCACTGTCTTATCCCCACTGCCTTTTCCTTTTTCCCCTGAGCAACCAGGTTTCTGCCTCAGTTTCTTTCCTGGCTGTCTCCTCCTTGCCACCACTTATCTGCCCCCTCCCAATATTCTCAGCTGTCTGCCTCAGTTTCCAGCCCCAGTCTTCCTTAAGTAAACCCAAGCCTCAGTTCCTCAGCCAGCTTCTCTGTAGCCCACCAGTTCTAATCCTGGTTCTGGCAACTTTCACTCCCTACACTTTAACTCTCTCTTTCTCACCTGAACCTTCCCCCAAGCACACACATACACACTGTACCATCCAAGTTAGGAACTTACCTGTGTGTATGTGTAGGTGGGTGGTATGTGTCTGAACTGGTGAGTGTGCATGTGTGTATATATGCCACTGTGTGCATGGTATACGAATTAGTACTCTGGGTCTAACTTTTGGGGTGTATAGTGTATGTGCTTGAATTGGTGATAGGTATGCATGGGCCTAGGCTGGTTTGGATGTGTATGTGCCTGATCTGGTAGTGTGTATGTGTATGCACCTAATTGATTTGTGTGTTCGTATATGTGCAATTGTGTCACACCCTCCTGTCTAACAGCACAATATTGAGATCTTGAGAGTTGGCCTGACCCCACAGGGCAACAGTTCGAAAGCTGTGAAAACAGAGTCTCACAGAAAATAATTTATTACACAAAACCCTATGAACAGCATGGCCACATGGACCAAGCACTGCACAAGTATTCTCTGGACCTGCCCCTGACCTTGTGCAAGTCACATTCCCCATTCTGCGCCTCAGTTTCCCCATCTTTAAAATGTTAATGAAGACACCGAGCTCCTGTGTAAATCACTGGGGGACCTAGCTATGTAAAGCTCTGTATTTCAGGAAGGTATGTATGAAGCTCCCATTACTGCAACATTTGGGCACTTCCCAACCTTTAGCTTCACAACAGCCTATGAGATAGAAATGCCCATTTTTCACGTTGGGAACTGAGGCACAGAGTGGGGATGTGACTTGCACAAGGTCACAGAGGAAATCTGTGACAGAGCAGGGACATGAACCTACTCCTCAAGGGTCCCACACTAGTGCCTCAGCCACTATGCCACCATTCTTCCTACATGTTACAAGGCTGCATTTTGTTCTTATGTCTGGCTATATGGTGGAAACCTGAAGGATTTACTCTGTTTGTATGGAGGCCTCATTGTCACTTCACTGGTAGAAATTCCTGAGTGAAGGCTGTATAACAACGAATAGGGTTCCAGGGTGTGTCCTACTGTTAACATACAGATTTGAGGATTACATACCATGCAATAATCAACCCATGGAGGCATATCTTTGTGAGGAACAAGAGCTGGACACCAACACATGTACATTTACAACGTTTCAAAAGGGTATTGTTTCAAAAGGAGAGCAGCTGTCATGGTCTAATTGCTAAGCCAGGAGCAATACAAATGGGCAAAACTGTTCCAACTTTATAACCCTGCTTCATCCAGTGTAAAAGCTGGAGTCGTCTTACTCCATTTGCATCATTCCCAGCTTGTCCACACACAACAGTTAGAATGTAAAAGCTTCTGCCCTTTTGAAATGGCTCTGTCACGGGGGCACTTGGGTGCCCCGTTCCTGAGTAAGGATTAGAGCAGCTGCCAATCACCAGGGCAGCTCAGCTGTGGGTTGCGGGAGTAACCAGGTCAGCCATGCGACCGGAAGGGGGCAGGGCTGGGCCCTTATAAACAGCTAGGCTGGAGCCTGGCTGGCAGTTCCCTTCTGGCAGCCTGTGTGTAAGAGCTCGGCGGGAGAGCTAGACTGAGCAG